TCAAAAAGGTTACCGGCCGTCGTTCTGGTTTCGGCAATGTCGTGCACACCAAAGTCCACGGCAAGCTAGCTCCTGCCCCCATAGCGCATTGTGCGTGGAAGAGTCATTGCGGATGCACGCTCATGGTGCACAAGGCATGCGCAATGCGGAAATGTGTGTTTTGGAAAAGCAGCGTCTCCAACATTCCCAGTACTAACAGTTGCAGACCACCTGACTGCACGCACTGGCCGGAGCATGCTCCATCATAGTTCGGCGAAGGGGGACTTGAGAAGAAGGGCTTCTCGAAGGGAGCTTGAGAAGGCCCCGGCCCGGGGGGGAGGGGGGGGGGGCTGAAGGTTGAAGGGTTGAAGGGGGGCTTGAAGGGGGCTTGAGAAAAAGGGGCGGCTTTTCAAAGGGGCTTCAAGGGGGCTTCTCAAGGGGGCTTGAAGGGGGACTTGAGTGGGGGCTTTAAGGGGGGCTTAAGAAGGGGGGTTTCCAATTCTCGAAGGGGGCTTCAAGCCCCTTCTCAAGCCCCCTTGAAAAGGGGGGGCTTCTCAGGGGGGCTTGAAGGGGGCTTGAGAAGGGGGGATTTCTCGAAGGGGTTTAAAGGGGCTTGAAGCCGTTTGGGGGGTTTGCAGGGAAGGACTTCAAAGGAGGTTTAAAGAGGGCCGCTCTTCAAGGAGGACAAAGCGAGAACGTTCGCAAATGGGAGGGGCTGCACCCTCTCCAACCCTCCCGCTCTTTGAAAAACACAATACGTTTTCGTTCTCGACTTTCTGCCGCAAAGAAAAGAACGTCTTCTCCACACACGAAAAAGAGAAAGCCACACGCAATTGCTTCACATGGCTTTAAGTAAAGAAATAAATTATATAACGTAAAACGCCTTCTCTAACAGACAACAAGAATGAAAAAACGTCTGTTTAACACACAACAAGAAGAAAAACCACACGAAATCCCACACAGAAGGAAAGCACACGAGACAAACAATAAGATTGAAAAAAGTTTTCTTCACAACAAGCAGAAACGAAAGCGCAATAAAGTGATTTGAAAGCCCGCGTCGGTCATGGATCTTTGCTCACAGTAGCTACTCGGTGGTCCGACGATTGCGATCTGAAAAGTGGCCTACATTTGTAAAACTTTCAAACCCTGAACAACCCAGTCAAGGTCTGCACAGACTTTTGCTCGCGCAACAAACGAAGTGTTCTGCTGTTCTTGCACTGCACTGCTGTAACTT